ATAATCTTTCTATTGAGTTTTTTCTCACTTTCCACTCTTCTTTACTTTTCTGTGAGGCCAGAGGAGGGGACAGAAGATGGTTATTATAGTTATTGCAACGAGAAAGTGATTGCCTCCCTACTCACATTGAGCAAATCTGAGGCCAGTCTCTGTAGACAATACAGGGCTAAAATTAGATCTCATCCAGGAAAATTAAGCATTGCCATCATGATCTTCCTTTCCTGAGAAAGGGATTTTGAAAGTAGCACTTCACACAATGGTTTTTGGTGGTTCAAAGAATAAGAATTGACAAGAAACTACAGTATTTTAGAATTAAAGTCCATGATGTATAAGGATGTGAAGGGATGTTACGAATGAGAAAAAGAGCAATTCAGAAAAGAAGCTTCCTCCAACAGAACAATATATTTCTTAACTGCTGACATCCATTGACCTCCTCCTTTTCAGACTATAAATCTTGCCAACTAACCTGACCTGCAAAGACCCTTGATGGAAATACAGTAATTTCAATCAGTCGCAATCCATTCTTTAATGATACGGCACACAGAATGAGCTTAGTTGGGTTTGGCTGTACATGTAATTAGTAGATCAGGAGCAAAAATGAATTTCTATTTGAACTTTGACCGATTCATAGAGATGAATACTTCTTTAATCCAAATTAAAATGTCCCCTTTCCTAGGTGATGATATATTGCTTGTTGCTCGTGCCCAAGTACTAACAATGACACACAATTAGAGGTAACAGGGAACCCAAAAAACTGAGATTCTCCCCCCCCCCTCCCCCCCCAACTGCTATTGGGATAAAACCAAGACCTTTGTTTATTTCAGAAGAAGTCTTGAAAGAAAGACTACCCATACTGGAATTTAGGGCATACAACTATGATGCCAGAGACTCAGATTCAAGTCTCTACTCTGCCCTTAAACAGTAGTCTATAAAGGCAGTGTGAGGTAGATGTTGTTGTTCTCATTTACTCACACTCTGGTTTTGACCAGAAATTATATCCAGGATCTGCAATTAAATTTTCATTAAAACTGTCTCAGTACCATGACAAAAATACATTTTGAAAAACTGGCATGTTCCATTGGCAGGGAGGAAAGGAATTAATTTTAAAAAAATTATTGACCAGATCTACAAAAGTCAAGCGTCAGAACAATGAGTTTGGGAGCTATATTTGCTTCATTTCACATGATTTTCAAATTTATTTTTTAATTTGAAGAAGAGACGGAATTGTCATGGTAAGGATTAACAAACTCTATCATTTCCATGCTATACATCTGCATAGGTGCTCTTAACTGGTATGAATGAGAGAGCAGAGACGTTTGGACAGAAATGATTCCGAAGGCAGAATGTGTTTTTTTTAAGAAAACAGAGTTATCTTAATGCACAGAACCAGATGAATGCAAAATGGGTTTGAGGGGGAGCTAGATACAGAAAGTGCCATTATTCTGGCTCCCTAGGAATAGAGTGAAAAGCAGTATCTTCCTGGTACTTTTTGGGCAGCAGTTGACAGGTAGGATTTCCTGTAAAAAGGAATGACAACACTGACCTTTAGAAAATTATCACCAGATAGCAGAGAAAAGCTTTTTAGTCCTCATGGGACTAAAGGAATCACTTACAGACAAGATACCAAAAGAAAACAAAAAACCCTCCTGCATTTTTGAGTGTGCTAGTGGAGCTACACTGTGAGGCTGCCAGCTTCAAATGAAACTCCACAAAATCAGGAAAATAGTCTCATTAAATTTATAGGCTATGCAACCACTACACCTTCCAGAAGAATGCTATTTCTAAAGCATATTTATGTAATGGGGCCTCCACTAATCCATGCTAATATCTCTCTCTCTCTCTCTCTCTCTCTCTCTCTCTCTCTCTCTGCCCCCTCCCTCCCCGCCCTTGGAGGTGACTGACAGATAAGAAAACAAATCAGAAGGGAGAAGTGCCTCTCACCACAATGGGGTCTCAGCTGCTTATGCATACAGGACCCAAGGGAAAGACATGCCTAGAATTAACAAGCTAACAGAACCCATTAATATCATACAGCTACATTGCAAATAATTGACTGTTAAGCTACTGCAGAAGTTATAGTTCTTACCAGTATGGCAAGCCCATTTTACAAACAGGTTAACAATTCCTTTATCTGCAGTCGAGTTCCAGCAGTCCTCCGAGCTCTTTGGCAGGCAAGGCTCAACTGCCCGCTATACAATTATAACCTCAAGCAGTTTAGGCATACAGGACCTTCATTATCAGGGTGCTGACCACTAGTAAAAATCCTCCTATTTCTCCATTTTCACTATTTCTTCTGAAAAAGAACAGCTCTTCTGAGAAGTTATATCCCAGAATCTGCTCCTTAATGAAACAGGGTATAGATGAGTCCATATTTCCACTAGCGGCCGTGACCCTTTGTGAAAGGAGTTTCCTCCTGATTCGTAAATCTGCCTCTCTCCACATGTGGCTGAGAGGACACCTCATCAGTATGGATTACCGAAGCTATAGGCAAGAAATAAACTTGCAGCCAGATAAATTTTTAAAAAATAAAACAGCAAATTCCCCTGGGATGTGACAATTCCTTAATCCCAGTCTCAGATCAAAATATAACCCTGAAATGGAGAAAAGCAAACTGCACAACTGAGATGCTGAGAGGACAGACATGTCATAAGAGAAAATGAGTCTTAGCAACGATGCTTGATCCATTCTAATTCAGAAGAGAGTTTTACTTTGTAGCTCATTTTTATGACAGTAACTGTGCTAAAATTGTACATTTCAAGGTTGCCTCTATATTTCAATTTAGAAATCCCTAAACTTAAGGGTTTTCTAATTCCAGTATAAAATCTTGGTCAATACGACCACAGACCAAGAGCAGTTTTCTCCCTCACTGTAATCAATAGTGAAAAAGTTTGATCCTGGCACTGATCATCACAAGAATGTTAAAAAGAATTAAAAAAACCAAGCCAGGAGTTTGTGGTCTCCAAAGTCTTTTTAAAACCTAAACAATTCAAAACAATTAATTCAAATATTTCTTTGTAAAAAGCTCTGTTCCACTAAATGGGGTGGTGCCTAAAGGTGGATATTAGAGATGTCAAGTTAGAAAAGCTTTTTTTTTTTTGTTCCTGAACATCAATGTTTTTCAAATTAGATTTGTTAGCACACAGCTGTACTGCTCTAAAGAGGAATTCTATCCAGTCTGGCTCAACTGAAAGGCCAGTGGCCTGTATGAGGAGAACTGATAGCAGTAGGATTATAGGAAAGAAGCATTCTCCAAGGCCCATCTACACATTACAGGCAGTGCGCAATTAACCAGATAATTGTGCAATTACATGGAGACCAGCTACACATGCAAAGTAGCTATCGCACAATAAAAAACTCCAACCAGCTATAAAGTTAGACCTTGAAAATGTGTACTAACTTTATAGCAGGTTGCTATAGAGCTTAATTTGTACATGTAGCAGGGTCTCCCCTGCAGCTAGGAGCTCCTCAGTTGACAGGGATCCCAACAGCACCCTTTTCAGCATGAAACCCCAGGGCCTTGGGGATCACAGCTGTCACAATCCCCAAGGCTCGGGGTGCAGGATACCCCTGAGGTCAGAGAACTGCCACAGAGGCAACCCTCTCTCCCAGCGTTTCAGTCCCCCCACCCCAGAGGTATATTGGGTGCCCCTATGGCTGAGAGCCCCTCAACTTGGGGGAGTGGGACTCTCAGCTGCAGAAGCTTGCTATTTGCTAGTGAAGGTAATTAGGCGCAATAGGATTTAATGCGCAATCCCACAATCGCACCTCCTACCATGTACATGTGGCATGGCAAGAGGCGCGATTGTGTGAACTGCACATTAGATCCCATTGCACATTTACCTGCATGTGCGGAGTGCCCCAGGTAAGAGAGCAGAAGATTGATATTTTTTTTAAATTGGCGAAGTCCTGATATAACTGAACAATTTCTGATTAGAACGTTATAAAAATCTTTGATTGATTTGACAATATCCCAGCCAAGGTAGGTTAAAGGGGCAGCAGAGGAAAGCTTGGAATATTTTGCTTCATAAATTATCTCTTCAGCTGTTAAAAAGGAGAACAGCTTCCCTGTCTGTCCAGGTGGTAACCCTTCTCTCTGCATACGGTATCCTAAAATATCATTTTGTATAAAGAAAGATTAGTTTTTAAAAAGTCTAACTTTAATTTATATACAGAGGCTGGACTGACAAAGCCATTAAGACAGCTAACTCCCACTGATTATGATGAGAGTTAGGCAGTTAAATATCTTTGTGGATCTGGGCCAAAGTGCTTTTCACTTTCAAAAAAAAAATCAATCTACCCTTAAACTTTGTAGTGCTCAACCTTTCTTTTTTTTTTAACAAACGAGACACATTTTAAAATCATAAATGGACCAAGGGCTGCACACAGAAGCATTGCCAAAGCTCCGCATACATAGCTCTTAGCTCACCAGTTGCCAGCACAGGGTCTGATCCAGAGCCCGGAGGCTGAATTCTGTCACCGTTACACTCTTTTTCCCCCTGCTATTGAATTCACTCAGTGGAGACTGAATTCAGCATCAGGAGAAAAAACTAAGCAGTGTGGCAGCCTCCCCCTGGGTCCAGAAATTCCAGTGAAATTGATGGGTCTCTGACCACAGCCTTCACGAACATGAGGTGAACTGAGAGCTCACTGCACATATTGATCTTCAGCAGGGGTCTGGCTGACTTGCTGATGACCTCAGACAGGGATGCGGTGCTAGTTGAAGGGCCATTCTAAAGGGCTTTGTAGGCAGCATCTAGCTCACAGGCCACAGGTTTAGTACCACTGCTTTAACTAGTACCTTTGTGACTTTTTCTTCCAGAAAGTATGCAAGTTAAATATGGAACACCAGAGCCTTAGCTGTAGCCAGCATGGATCCGTTGTCTCCAGCAGGCTATGCCACCTCACATCAGCTGAGGGTCTGGTCCAAGACCTTGCAACCATCGAATATTTTGACGTTTCAGTTTGTGCACCAATGCTAACATAAATGTAAAGATACCAACATTTCTTTTTCTTCTCAGAAGCACTTTTCTCTTCGAATCACAACAGTCTGAATCACCGGAGAAATGGAAGATTTCTAAATCAGCACAGGAAAAAGACAGATAAGAACAAATGGAGACATTCAGGGATACCAGCAATGTATCTAAAGAAAGCATTTAGCTCCTAGTAGTGGTGAAGGACAGTAATCTTAAAAGCCTATACAATAGTGATGTCACCCATTCTCTTCTTGGCAAATTTTAAAACTTCCCAAATTAAAGGTTTGAAAAATGTTTCTCTGAAGATGGTGATAAGTGACTCCATCCAATACTCATGAACTAGTTTGTAACATTAATTCATTAATGTTCACTAGAAGCCTCAGTTGGTAGCTATTACTCATCTTCATTTTACAGATAGGAAAATTGTGGCACAGGGATAGACTTGCAAAAGGCTACACATCAAAACAATACATTGAAAAGTGCAATAAAATGCCAGAAAAATCTAAGTCCTTGTATTTTCTGTGCTATTGAGAATTATTATAAAAGTTTCAAATGACATAAACTACCAATCAATATCTTAAATGGTACTGGCAATTACTCAGTAATGTTAACTATTTACTATTTAAACAATATAAATGCCTTATTTCAAATGTTCTATTTTTACATGTCAACTTAATACAATCCTTTACTTGGTGTTATTTCACCAGCTTATATTTTTACATCTTAAATTAAATCCAGGTCAAGTCAAAAATAAAATAGCTCTGAACTCTTGTGTTACAGTTTGATCAAGATTTCACATGAGAAAGTGAACTTATATGGCTATGGCAGCACAACAGAACACAATAACGTGTCCTGGGCTTTGAAAGATTAATCATTACTGTATTAAGGCACAGTTTTCTCTATAAGCTTATCTGAAAAATCATTTTTTTAAATGATTTGGCTTTATGAGCCCTTCTCATGCAAACAGATTGATGAATGCACTGAAAGAGCTTGCAGCTATAAAGATTATTCATGAGAGAATAGGATCAACAAGTGACATGCCTTTCATATAGTGAAGCAGATCAGCTGTGCTGGCACAACACAGCTGATCTACTTCATTTGGTGAAGTTTGTTTATACCCTGAGACATAGGGCCCATGTGTTTGTGTGTATTTATATAAAAATCATTTCAACCTCTAAGTTCAGCACTTCTCACTATATGTATAATTTACCTGAATTCCTAAACTATTACTATCCAAGTAACATAGTCAAACAAACCAAGAAGAACAAGATCTACACTGACAGTTCAAATCTAGAGCCTCTCATTAAAGGATCATATTCCAGTAGCATTATTCACAACGATTAGCCTTTGTCTCCATGAAAAGTCTTGTTCATCCCAATGGGACAAGTTGTAAAACAAGGCACTACCTAATATGACCAAGGGTATCAGAATCTGGCTCCAAGTTAGAATATTCAGCACATTAAGTGAAAATCATAATATCTGGGATCAAGTTATGATTAATGCGTTAGACGCCAGTGTTGATGGCCCACAGGCCAAAATGCACTAGTTTCTGCCAGAAGACTTCAGGGCTGCCCGAGCCCATTTAAAAGATGCCAGAGAGAAACAGGCATAGCAACCACCTTCTCACTTATAGGGGAGACAAAACAATCTCTCTAGGTCATCTATGAATGACAAAGAACAATCTAATTTTACCTCAGGACAAAAAAGGACTCCAGCCTTCAAGGAAGCATTCTCCTCATTACATATTATATATAAAAAAAGAGTTATTTAACTGGAGAATTTATATTTTGGGCTTTTATTCTTCACTGTTTTCAAATACTAGCAAATGTTTGTTAATGATATTTAGACATCATAATATAGACCACACTCGCTTTAGACACCGCAACCTCAGCAATTATTTGTATTTCCTTTAGCAACACCCCAACAGAAACCTGTTTATATTGTAAGAGAGAAATTTCAGACAACTTTATTTTTTAAATTAAAAGCATGTGTTTATGAATTTCACTCTTTACAGCACTGCTATATTTGAACACTATCTTCACACGGAACAGTATTTCTTCAAATCCTCAACACACACAGACAGAAAGCAGCTGACATTTGTTCATACTTAAAGATGGAGCAATAAAACTGAGTCATATGGGTTGCTATCTTCACAGAATTACATGGCATATTTCTCCCCTTTGAGGTGAATGACCTTTGTTAAACACCAAATCATCTATATTCAGTCAAAATCTGTTTTCTAAAATTAAATTTAATCACATTTGTTCTACACACGTAACAAGGTCTGAGGACTGCATGTTATGTACACTATAATATGTACAAACAAAGACTGCATCAAATATCATAAACAACATTTCTATTTTACCTAAACTTCCTGATGTAACAATTACAGTATATTGTTCTGTGATTCATTAGCATTCCCTTTCCTTTTTATAGTTATAGTACATAATATTTGCAGAGAAATACCCAGATAGGTAGCAGACAAATGTTATTGGAATACATAATGAATATCAAATAATTTGAGCTAAACATAAAATACACATCAGATCAGAACCTTAGTCCTGAAAAAACTTACAAATGAATACCTCTATACATAGTATTAGAATGGTGTTGCAATCAAGATGGTTCAGGAATTGTGTGAGAGACAAGGATTTTTTTGGATGATATCTTTCTGTGGACCAAGGCATAGTTGGGATAAAGTTAGACAAGCTTCTGAATGCACTTGAAAGCTTGTCTAACTTCATCCCAGTTGTGCAGCTGGCCCAATAAAAGATATATTTTAGATCACTTAGTCCCAATACGTTCAATGGGAATAAATCTAATTATTCAAGTATGTGAATATTTGGAACACTAAAACTAACACATATATTTTTGTTGTTCTCAGTTAAACTAAAATTGGATCTATGGTTACCTCACCTTAAATTGTGACAAGGTAGAGCCATTTAAACACTGACTTAAATATTGTGAACTAGATTATAGAAGACACTATGTAAATAATGAAAAATAAAATCCCATTTACAATGTTATCATGACTTAAAGAAATTAAATGGAAAAATGTCGATTGACCACCCTGATGATAAACCCACTAAAATCAATGGGGGAGGGGTTGCCTTCTGCATGTTTGTATCCAGCCATATGATGAGACTATGGTATCACAGTATGATCATGCCGGGTGTAGTATGCATTACACAACTCACAGCTTCTAGCTATGTTGAAAGAAGCCCCAACCTGTAGTCCACCCATCACAGTTCAAAATATCCCGGAAAACTATTGCTACAACCATATCATTGTGTTCAAGAATTCTCTCCCCTCCTGGTTTTATAGGCTCCCACCTATCTCTTCCCTCTCCTTATACTCATTCCCTCTGCTTACTCAAGTCTGATTTCCTCTTAATTTCTCACCTCCCTACCCTCCCCTTCTTCATTTTTGTTGCCACTGAAATAGTTACAAATATCAGTTATAGCATAAACAAATCCCTTAAACAGATTTTGTATGCCCCAATTTTGACATTAACATTCACTTGGGATGTAGAATTAGGTATAATTCAGCTTTAAAATTGTTTCCATCCAATGGGTCAGATCTTCTGCTGAGACACAACTGTACAGGCCTATTGATACTGTTAGATGAAAGAAAACTTACACCCACTCAAGCCTCAGATATTTCAAATTAGGTTCATATCAGACAGGGCCACGAAAACTTAATTTTACATATCAGATACTCCATGCCGTACCTTTAAATGATTTGGTGATCTATAATCCAGTTCCTACCTGACTGGTGAGCATATTATGAATAATACCCTCAGAGCAAACATCAACTTCATGGCAATAAAACTGAAAATACTGAAAACAATGTAATCTGAAGTCCAAATATTCACTGAAAGCTGATTCTGAACAATACAAAACAGAATCACAACCCTCCATAGCCATGCCCAAATAAGACACGCATCTTGATTTTGGAAGACAGCATGTACAAGAAAAGTCATGGCCTAGAACTGGGATTTTTTCATAAAGACACTGTGCTACAACATGGCTGCCAGCTTCCATCTCTCTGCCATGTAGCTGGAGCAGGCATAGTCCAATGTAATGGGTACCACCTCAGTAATACATATATCCCACATATACTTGTTATGGGATCAAACCTGCTGAAACTGGTACCAATTTAAAAATGGTTGTGAAAGAGTTAACACTAGACTGTGTCCTTTCCTGCTTCCTGGCAGGAAGAGAAAGCAGCTAGTAGCCATCCTGTAGCACAGTGTCTTTATTCTTCTCTACCTCCATGCAGTGAAGTCCTGGCACAGAAAATCAGCTTCCCACTTAGATATGCACCCCAATTTCGGAGGGCTAATTTTGGGAGACAGTGTGCATGTCATATGCAAGCAAATGCACTTGCACTTGTAAAATCAAACTGGCAAAATGTTGCTAACCTACCAAAACCATCAATTCCCACGCAACAAACCAACACAGCACACAGTGCAGATATTTGCAATGCACTTATTCACAAATTATAAGAAAACCATTGCCTGAGCACTCTTATAAATAGCAGCTGCATCTGAGACTTTACAATGTGTCTTCACTAGGAAATAGGAAAAATGGAAATATCTGTTTAGAGGCACTATGCTGCACTTAGTTCCTATGATCACAGACCTGATAAAGAATATCTTGCATTCAAAAGTTTGTCTAACTTTATCCCAACTACATATTTGATCAATAAATTATACTACATATTTGATCAATAAATGATATCACCCAAAGAAATCCTTGCTGTGCATAAATTCTGGAGCATCATGGGTACAACCTCATTCTTACACTATAGTATCTCTTTAAAAAGTTATTTATTGCTCATCATTTGCTTAGAAGAGGTCAAAGATTGAATGATTCACATGAGAGGTAAGCCCCAGTGTTGAAGCAGTACAAGAAGCATTGTTACATGTTAACTTTCACATGTGTTAAGGGCTCTTAAAATGAGAGTGTCCACATATTAAGTAAGAAAAAGATGAGCTAAGTATCCTCTCCTCATTTTAGAGAGTCCTCTTCAGGCGAATATTATCTTTAACCGGTGTTATGGAGCTCATGTTACAGTCGCATCAAAGTCCTCTACAGGG